GGTTATATTACTAAAACGTTATAAGTAATCTTTCCTATAAGGAAACTAGATGTAGTAACTATATCATGGATTAATAATAATAGATTACTATAGTAATTCATTATATCTATATACTACTATCTGACCTGGCTCTATTGGCTCTGTGGCTCTGTCTTCCATAGATCCATAGATTCATAGATCCAATCACGTGACCTCCTTACGTGTTCATATTATGTTCCGCATCAGAACAGTAAGCGTAATTTAGGTTATTATCGTCCCATTGGTCATTGCTGCTAACGCCGTCATTATTGTAATTCTGGTGCGGCGCGGTTACCGTAACACTTTATAGCCCAACACCGCCCGCGCCAGAGGTCACCCTATGGGAAGCCAAAACACCAAGCAACGCGCGTGAAGTAGAGGCTCAATCTATATGAATTTGTGATAGGATTTAGAGGCATAGAAGCTTGTCGCCTACTTCTAGTATTGAGGCCCTTAATTAGCTTAAAAAAGGCGCTAAGGTGATGGTGCACTTAGCTATGCTTATACGTGAGTGGATCGTGAGGCTTGAGAAAGCAAATAAGGCAGCCACAACGCGTAAATAGCGAAAAAAGAAGCGGATCTAGTAGTGAGGCACCTTAACAAAAGTAGAGATAGAGGAGATTATTGCTTAAATGGACGTTGCGTAGCAGCTAGAGGTGGAAATGCATTAAGGCAAGGCGCGATTAGGGGTAAGGCGGTAGGCTTTAGCGCGCTGTAGCCGCTGCAGACAGGCTGGCCATAACTCATAAACATGTAAGAATGATACTAGAGATGATTTTTAAATTATTATAGTAATTTTATTCTGTTATATAATTGTGTTGTTGAGATAGATCGCTGCAAAGGCGTGAAAGTATGGTAGGGTGGCGCGTTCGCTTGCCAGGTACGTTATCCTCTTTCCTTCGGCTACAATCTGAGTAAATCAAGGAATGTGTTCCGAGAGTTCCTGCTTCATTGCGTGATACAGTTGCGACATCAACCCATAGCTCCACTACCATCAATAAAATGCTGTAAATTTCTCACAATATAGTGTACATTCCATGTCATACTGCATACTTCACTAGGGATGCTTGTGACAGGACCGTTTGCGGCAGATCGGTTTAATCATTCCAAACGCGATTACAGGAATATAAGAGCAGAAAGCACGGGCTGAGGTCCTAATACCGATCACCTACGATTATCGCGTACTCCGCCTTCACTTGATTTGCACCTCCTTCTAAACTTCGACTGAGACCAAGAACGTCCCCCAACACGAAAGCGCAGCTGATTATTTACCATCATCAATAGATTCTAACTTTTGTTTCAAATAGACATCGCAAGGCCGGCTCAGTCTAGCAAGACTGATATTGGGGCAACGTAAGTCTAGTCGCGATCCATGTAGTGCACCCGATGAATGGATCACTCATCAGATGGCAAACTATCGAGGCTGGTATTCGCCAAATCCTGAGGCCCCCATCGAATGATGTTAAATTGAGCATGTAAAGATGCATGTGTCTATATACGGCCATGCACAACTTTTGTACAGCACGGAATGCTGATGGCATTGGATACGAGCAGGGTAACGATGCCCGCAAGCGCGGGGAAGGTTTGATAATGGATACAATTAATGGGTATTGAGATCTGACGACCATCCTATAGCATATTTTCTTGGGAAGAAACTACATGATAGATTGAAGCAATCGCTTATCGACCACGTTCAAGGAAAACAAGATAAAGCTAGATGGCTTCCGAATCTGAGATTACTCAGATTCTACATGGACAAGTGGGAGGGGATGACCCCCTATCGATATGCAACTGCTGCGAAGTACAACTACCACTTGTTCAGGTATCGAACCGAACCTGGGTGAAGCGGGAATACAGGAGGGAAAGGAAGACATCCACAATGTATACATGCTGTGTCTCTACATAACGTTGCATGAAACGCAGTAGGAGCCGCTATTGTTCATGTACACGTTGCGGACGCTCTGGCCCAGGTTGTGAAGATGCGTCATAACGGAGTTAAGCAAGATTGAGAAAGGGGCCGCTGGGCACGCTAGCATGTACATGAGTACTATCTAATTAGAATACATACTAACGGATGTGAGCTACATGGGAAGCAAAGAGCACACATGATTTCATATAAAAGTGCTAGTCCACATGGATTGGCATCATAAGGAGGAGTAGCGCCTATCTCCAGGTCATCCTAGAGAAGAGCTATAATCGCAGATACACTCTGCCCTCACTCTTGGTTTTCTATTGCTGATCTCCTTTACTTTGCTTCAAGGCTAGTCCCTATTAAAGTCATGTGCAAGCTTCTATTATGGTTATTATTTTCTTCAGTATAAAGTCACGGTACAATACTAGGGCAAGATCGATTCTCTCTATCCCCGCTGTTTCTGGGACGTTCTATGGAGATCATCTATCATTGAGGTGCGGAGGAGGAATGAGCGACTGAGTTGATTGTAACAAGCTAACCAGAGGATCCCTTAAGTACGAGGATCGTAGTTAGCAGCTAGTCTACATAAGGTAGGTTGTATCATGTAACAGTGTTGAACGTGATGCCACCTACACTGACAGAAATGTACCCTTCTGGCTAGTTGCTGTGGTCCGTAAACAGCTGGACAAAAGTTTGAAACTTTAATAACGCGTCTCAGAAGAACTCGAAGCGCTGATAGTTTGTGTAAGCAGGCAATAAGGACAACAAGCTGTATTGCTAATTGCAGAAAGGAGTGTGTGTGTGATTTTGTTCCAAAGCGAGAGAGAGCGGGCGAGAGTCTGTTGACTCTATATTCCGTGAACCTGGGTGGTGGCTACCACATACAGAACAGGTGACGTCAGCCACGTGGTTACAGTTTGTTGCCCTGCCAGCAGAGGGTGTAGAGATCGCTGTCACAATGTGTGTTCGACTGCAAAAGGGAACGTTCCGCAGGATCGTCTCCTGCAGCTGGTGGGCTACGGTATAGGCTTCTGTGTGCCGCAAGAGAGATGCAACGAAAAAGTTGAATTTCGCGAATCTATAAGCGAGTAGATCGACTGTACAGTCGCTAGCACGAAGTCGCACACCTGCCGATGATTGTTCTGCAACTGCGATTGGTGCATCAAACGGACGGTTTGTGAGTGTGTTTGGAGCTTCGAAATTTCGATGCTTGAAGAGGGGGACGCTCCTTACTTCCGGGTCATCCTCTTGCTCAACCCCATTGGCCATTCCAGAGAAGACCAAAGGCGCTTCATTCATCTTAGTGGATCTGATGAGTCCCTGGGCATTTCTGCTACCACCCCTTAGGGCGTCGAGCATGTCTATACGTCCTTCGTGGGCTTCGAGCCAATCTGGTAGATGGTTCTCTTCTATGTTTGGATTGAAGAGGAGCACGAACTCTGTCTTGTGGCTCATACTTTGATCGGAATGTGTCGACCTGTCTAGGAGCTGGGTGATAGCCCTCAGCTGTTCCAGCGTGTCGGCGCTCGCAACCGACCTTCGAGCTTGATCCTCGAAGCTGGCATCGAAGGTGGTTTCTGAATCCTAGTATAAAAAGGTATCTGGAATATATAACGTAGTTGAATTTCCGTCACAACTCTTTCCTTCTTGCATTATCATGCTTCTAAAAGAGAATGTTCTAAAAAAATTCACTGGATAACGGATTTACAAACCTGTTAGGCATATTAGCATGCTCATCATCGTGGTAGGTAGTTATCAGGCTGAATGTCGTAAATGGTTTTGAGAACACTTGATAAGACCAAGGTTTTTGCTTAGGGTAGAGCGTACAGTTAAACCCTACTTTATTTTGTATTTATATATATCATCTTCCCTTTATCCCTCAATTGGCACAAAGTCCGGGTAACGGGCTCCGATGGCCTTGAGTTTGTCCAATGTAGCCTCTAGCTCTGCAACTTCTGCATCTGTAATCTCCACTTGTTTTGAGTTCTCCTGAATCCTGCTAACGGACGTTGCTCCTGGAATCGGAACAGTGGTTGGCAAGCCCGGTCTCCTGGACTGAGCAATCGTCCAACTGATAGAAAGTTGAGCCAGAGTACATCCCTTCTTTTTTGCGAGCGCCCCGACTTGATTGGCTAGTTGAACATTAAAAGGGAATGTTTCCGGCTGAAAACGCGGGAAGAGGCGCAGAAGACTCTTCTCAGGAATATCGTCTAGCGACTTGAATCTCCCGCTTAACAGGCCACGGCATAGTGGAGAATATGCAATAAGGGGAATCTGGAGTTCTGCACAAGCAGCCGCAACACCGTTATGCAATACGTCCATAGAAAAGCTGTGTAAGTTAGTAATAGTCGCCTCTAACGATAGGAGCTAAAGATACATACAGGGAGAGCTCGGCTTCAACAGCGACCACCTTGGTTAGTTTGGAAGCTTCGATGATTGTCGATGCTTTGACTTCCGAGAGACCAATACCGCCGATCTTCCCAGTCTGCACATACTCCTTGTCTAAGACACCAAAGGTGACATCCAACGGCGTATTTTGATCGCGTCGTGCACACTCGAAAATATCGATTCTCTTGCGTCCCTTCAAAAGAGCCATGCAGTTGTCAACTGAAGCTCGGATTCCCTCAGGAGAGCCATCAGGATGGTGTCCTGCAGGTCCAACAGCACCTTTAATGCTCAGTACTACCTTATCGGCGTCTTCAGGATATTTTTCAAAATAACGCTCGAGAAGTACGAGGCTGTTGTAATCCAGAGTGCCGTAGAAGTCGCCTCCGTTCCATAAGTTCATGCCGTTCTTGAGCGCAGCCTTCAATGCTGCGAATGCCTCCTCCTGCGAGATCGGATCGGGACGCAATGTTAATCCTGTCCTATATAAGATGACAATTCATAATTTATAAAAGCTTTCTTACCCATTAGACCGTAGCCGATTTGGCCGACTTCTTTCCCCAAAATTGTTGGCATTCTGTCGTCAATGATGAATGGAGGACTGGGGTAAATTGAAAATGGAAGGAAATCTTCATATTTATGAGTCTCGAAACGTAAAATCCAGAATAATACAAAGGTCCTACCGTCCTAGCTCTCACCAACACCGTCATATTCCCGAGTGAGAGACCCCGACATGGCCGAGTTCCCGATCGGGAACACATGGAAGCTCTTGGCATCTGTGCCCGAATATGCATTCCGCTTTTGTTTACCACTAGGTCGGCTATTATGGTATGTTCCAATTCGTTTTAAGCACCGCTTCGCGTATGCTGAAGACCATTTGCTTCGCGCCTAGTACTTTGCATTACTTACCTAGTGGGAAGTGAAAGAGTCTTTATTACCATGGCCAACAACACATCCCAAAATGCTAACGGCATCGCAAAAGCCAAGGCTGCTAAAAGTAGCGCATCTTCGAACACCAAATCCTGGCAGTCGTTGTCTCTATTGCTCCCTCAGCGCAACCCTGATTACGATTTCTGGTGGGGCCTAACAGGACCTCACCTCGCTACCATGCTCGAAAACGCTGGCTATTCTTCTGAAAAGCAGTTTGAAATGCTTTTGTTCCACTTCCATTGGAGCGTAAGTCTCCCCTTTATCCGTGCCAATGGTTCGCCAAATGCTAAGATGGTTGGAAGGTCACTTACCTAGGGCCGCGACCGAGACAAGGCGTCGACCCCAACTGGAAATCCCTCTTGGAGCCTGATGGAAGCCCTATCGAGTACTCGTGGAAGTGGAACGCTGCCTCTTCTGAACCCGACGTTCGCTTCACCATGGAGCCTATCAATGAGTTCTCGGGGACGGCACTCGACCCGCTCAATCAACAACCATCCTTGGAGTTGCTCCATCGTCTCGCCGAGAGGTTGCCTTCGGTAGATCTCACATGGGTCCACCATTTCTACACCAGTTGTTTCGATCATGACAAAGCAAAATATGTACAGGAGAAGGCATCCGGGGTCCCTATTGTGACAACAACATGCCTTGCCTTCGAGTTCGTCCGACACGGGCTATCGCTCAAGTCCTACTTTCTCCCGCGTAAGCTAGGTCAGCAAGGGCTACTACCATTATCCGAATGGGAGAAGACGATACGTCAGCTTGATCCCAAGAACAAGGCGCTCGATATGCTTCTCGACTTTCTAAGCACGAGCGCTGAGGGAAAGAAAATGAATCCGCTCAATCTTGCAGTTGATGACGTGCACCCGTCACAATCGCGGATGAAGTTCTACTTTCAAACGCCTAGTACCAGCTTCTCCTCGGTTCGCGACGTTATGACCATGGATGGGCGCACAACGGGGCTTGAAAAGCAGCTGGCGGAGCTGAAAGATCTCATTCATGCAGTCACTAGCCTTCCTGCAGATTTTCCAGAAAATTTAGACGTTCCGGTAGAAGAACAGTACCATCCCAGAGTCAATGGAACCATCGGAGAGGTTCCTGGTCAGTCTGGATATCTCTATTACTTTGACATCCGCCCTGGTGCCAAAGTACCGGAGATCAAGTTCTACACCCCGGTAAGCCGTTATGGACGTGATGATCATACGCTTGCCAAGGAGCTTACAGGATGGATGAAGAGTAGAGGTCGAGATGCCTATTGTGAGGGATATCTACGCATGCTTGAGAATATCGCAGAGCATAGACGCTTGGATGATGGCAAAGGCTTGCAAACTTATGTCAGCTGCATGTTTAAGGAGAATGATGTTTTGGACATTACGAGCTACATCTCTCCTCAAGTCTTCCACCCCAGCAGACTTGCACAGTGGGGGCAGCGTTAGACAGTGCTACAGGGATTTTGTCAGAATAAGACGCAATTGAATCGAAAATCACGATTGCAATGGAGATCCTGTGAGTGAACAATAGCTAATGAAAGTTGACATTGACACATTTCAAAATAGCTGCGCAACTTGGTTTATTTGGGCCAGATAATGCGGGATTACGGCAACTCAACGTGCGACGCAGGCACTGGACGGAGAATTCATGCAAGCGCTGGCCGCAACCCTCATTGTAGAGGTTCAAACCTTTTATTTGCAACAAGCTATCAGGATCCTTTATGCATAAGCGCGGAGTATGCATACTCCATAGTATATACCACCGAATCTTGAAAGTCCCCTAAAACAGCTTCTCCTGCGGACGGCACTTTGATAAATTAGGCTACATAGCGAGTTTCACAAGGTTCTGCCCTCTACCACACTACCTTGCAACCTACGCTACTACTTAATTTAATAACGCAGTGTGAATATCATTGCGATCAACCGAAAGCATATTGAGATGACCGGTGAGCTTCGGAAACTGCCTATTCCTCCTAGGTATGATATGTATTAGGTAAGTACGGGGCATAATGTGGTCGTGAACAGGCAATAATGAAGGCTTCGAACATAGTTCAAGGCATGCTGGACATTTGAATGAATTGTCTTTGCGTGACATTATTCGGGCTGACGCCTCACTTGGGCCATCTAAACTGGACATTTCATTTAATTTACCCTTCATTTCCGTACGGCATAGCATTTGCCACTTTTATCGACCATTCATCTACAATCTAACTTGTAGCGTTTTCTTCAGGAGGAGAAAGCGTCTGGTTCGACTGTTGTTCGTCTAGAGATCAGAGACGTCCCGCTTATAAGGGATGTCTCATCTCAGGTAGGCTAACTACATCTGGCTATTCAACCGTTACATAACTCTTCTGCGGGTGCTTGCGCATTTTCCGCACTGCAAGAATGGACAGGAGATTTCGTGTTCAGAGCGTAGATGGTTATTACGTTATTGGCCAATCTATGAATAAAAAGAGATTTTTGTTGTAAAGGGTCCGCTTATACACCTAAAGGATGCAAACGCAGCCAGGGCTCTTTCCCGCGCCCAATGTCTCAGACTTACCCCTCCGCCGTCGATACCATCCTCTTTACCCTTATGGGCGATACGACTTTCGATGGCATTTCAATCATTCGGGGCTTTATAATTCTTGCGAATGCGAGAGCGGTGCCTCATCGTCGAAGGTGATTGGGTTGAAATAGCTGAAGCGACCGTGCGGATCATACTTCTTCTTCAACCCACGGAGTTTCTCCAATCGCCATGGTTCGTACCCATAGACTGCCTCCATGGGCTCATCTCCAAAAGCATAGTTGATATATGTAGTCGGGCGACGGCCAGGCTGGCCGTCATTGAACAATTTCCGCGTCTGCTTGCCCCATTCGATTGCAAAATCATCCAGGCTAGCGTTCGGAGGATATTGGACATTGATGGCACTATTTTGGAGAATTAGCAGCTTCACGAAAGTACGAAAGCGGAGATTACGAACACTAGCAGCTTGTCGTCACGCAAAGCGAAAGCAGACTCGGCAGGGTCCACATTGTCAACACCCTGCAGAGAGTAGCCCTCCATGACGATAAAGGAGTATTCGAGTGATGGATCATGCTTGACCTTCTCTGCGAACAGGTTGTAGATGGCCCGCTGCGCGGTAACATTGTATTTGACGAGCCCGGCGTCAAACTGCATGTGCTGCAGACCCTTGCCGCAGATGGGGTCTTGTGCCGAAGTGCCTTCATTCTGGGGAATTTTGGGATATGGAAGGCTTGCCGAACGGCAACTGACAGGGCCAAGTTCGTCGAAAGGCTCGAAATAAGGTCTCGCCGCTTCTTCGGAACCGATATATTCGAAAGACCAATGAATGACAGGCTTTGTGGTGCTCACGTCAGGGTCATTCCAGTACAGCGTCCAATGAATCAATTCCGGAGGCTGTTTATCGCTCAACTCGTTAAGAAGCTCGTGGAAACGCTCCAACTTGTCCTCGGTAAAGGTGCAGATTTTGGAAAACCACGTGTCCACCTTGCGCGGGTAGATTTTCGCTTCGAAGCTCGTCACGATGCCGAAATTGTGGCCTGCTCCCTTCATGCACCAGAAAAGGTCCTTGTGGGATTTTGGAGAAACGTGGACAAGGGTTCCATCGGCAAGGACGACATTTAGATTGACGAACCCGTCGCTGATAAGGCCATATAGACCTTGGAGACGGCCATGACCTCCGCCGAGTCCAGGACCCAAAAGGCCGACGCATCCGCAACTTCCAGTATCTGTACAGCACGATTAGGAAGGTCGAGTACCGGCCGATAATTTCAAATTCTTACTGGTAACATAACCTTTCTCCCATAGCTCCTCCATGACCGGACCGCCATACACACCGCCCCCAAATATAGCCGAATCTCCACCCGGCTGGATGTCTATTTGACGCAATTGATTCAAGGATATCTGAATACCGTTGAACTTGCCCAATGTAGCCGTTGACCCATGTCCGGTATTGACCGCTAAGAAAGGCACATTTTGGCTGTTCGCATATTTGACCTGCGGACTAGTGTCATTTCTATACTGTTATTGTCCAATATGGGCTCAAAAATTTCAAAGCAACGTACGATTTCGGAGACGTCTTCATCTGTGCCCGCCTCAACCACGACATTGACCGTTGGAGCTTTGTACCACTGCCATCGAGCGGTCGCCTCTTTGAAGCGCGGGTCATCCTCAGCATAAAGTACTGCTGATTCGGAAAGCCGCGGGAGTAGTTCGCGTTCAAGATCCTTCACTGTCAGAGTTGTGGCCCCGGAGAGTTTGCTGAATGGCCAAAGGGTAGAAGAAGAACCGGAAGGCAAGCTCGCGAGAGCTAGCGTAAACGCAGCAGAGACAAGAGGAAGATGCATAATGACAGTGCAACATGCTGAATAGTGAGCGTGCACGCACGATTTGTATATTGTTCCCCTCTCAGACCGACATTTCCCGTCGACATCCCCGTTCTATCCATCACCGGAGACGTCGGTGATTCGGGAAGCTGCTGTGGGTTGTGACTTTCACATCCACGTTCGGGAACCCGGCGATTGGCACTGATTAAGCTGCGCGCGAGTTTGGGATGGAATGTCGTGACCGGACCATTTGACATGTGCGCAGAAGGTGAGCAATCTGTAATTGTGCACTGAGCGGGACACTATTGGTGAATCTGAAGGGAGCGGACAATCACAATAGTCGTCTTCACAGTACGTTGACGATAACCTCCTATGAGTCATTGGTAGGCAGGGCGCACTTTAATAGGATTCTTACACGGGATAAATACTCATACCTAATTATTAAGACATGCTCGTAATGCATCAACATTAATGTACCTCACGGGTGAGTGCATCTATTAGATGCATAATTCTGGGAAAGCTTGGCGCGCATTGTCAATTTTTTTCCCCTAAGCTAGCGCATGGGGTTCCGAGACACCCTGGGATATGAGACACGGCGCAGAAATCCTTCACCCCTCAAAAAATCGCGATAATTGATTCAGCATAACTACAATTGCCACTCGACTACACATAGATTGTAGGGTTTTAGCTACTACTTCTACTGCTAGCTTTTCTGCCTCTTTTTCTTTATCAGGACTACTATTTTATTGCTCTAGAAGGGCAGATGCCTACTTTACTATCATAATTTAATCTACACTAGCAAAGCGTTGATTTGGATCTATACGAACTTTCTTTCGTGGCTATAGAGGCTTAAGAGCCTTAAGTTAACTCTATAATCTTTTATTCTCTACTTCTAGTACTACTAAGCGTGTATTTACTATTATAATTGCCTTACCTACTTTCTTAAAGAGCTGGTAAGCCTTTTGGCTAATACCCTACTCTCTATGAAGCGCTCGCTGAGCTATAAAAAGCTAATGGGGGCTATAAGGGGTAGATAGATAGCTCTTAGCAAGATAAGCTTAATCCTAGTAAGGTGGAGTAGCAGCCCTTTAAGTAACTTAAGATGAGTTGACTACCCACTTAATATTTAATGGGCAGATACCTATAGTAGCCTATCTAGCGCGAATAACTCTCTCAGTGATTGCGCCCTCTCTAGC